GATCCAGGACTTTCGCGCACAGAATTCTTCCAAGCAAAAGAGTAGGCAGCAAACTGGATTGGCTAAATGAAACATCAAAGATGCTTTACACGCCCTCGGTAGAGTGGCACCGCCGCGCCCCAACCAAGCTGACATAGATTACTTGGCGGAGGCTGCTATTCTCCGAAGAGGTCCTTTTCAGTCAACAAGAGGCACCGGCCATACTCGGCCATCAGCCTACGGGCTGACTGCGTGAATACAAAGAAAAAAAATGCTCCTGGACAGTTTCTTTCGATTTGCACAAACCCATTATTTTTTAATTTGAAAACTTGAAGCCCCGAAGCCAATGGCAAGCCGCGCACCTTCATTGGCGCGTGGAAAATATTCCAATATATCATATAATACTATATGTAGTATTTTTTTGTATATTAAAATGCGTATACATATATATTTTTTTGAAATACACACACACATATATATATATTTTAAAAACATATGTATATATATCTATAATAATATATATATATATTTATATGCTAGTACATATAAATATTATGATAATTATAGTATATAAGTACATATATATATATATATATATATTTAGATATTCACAAATAGTAAGCAAATATACATAAGGAAATATACATAAAGATAGAGACAAGTCCGCTAAATAATTAGACACATACATAAACAGATAAACACACGGACAGATGGAATAAATAAGTTACATCTAAACGTATACATATACATCCCGCCGGACCGGAAACCGTTCCCATAAAACGCACATTTTTTAAAAAAATGGTGATTTTACCACAGTGCCGTGCCAATTTGATGATTGGAAATCCTGGAAAAACTTGGGGCGCGTTTTTTCCTTTTTCAGCGTCATCGCTTTAAAAAATGGTGATTTTACCACAGTGCCGTGCCAATTTGATGATTGGAAAGCCTGGAAAAACTTGCGGCGCGTTATATAGGTACGTTAACATCCCCCCCCACCCCACCCCACCCCACCCCACACTAGAGGTCTCAGCAGCGTAGCAACATGTAACGTCGTAAACGATCCCAGAGATCTCAGCAGCGTAGCAATATATCAGGTACGAAGTACAAGGAACGTTAACATCCCCCCCCACCCCACCCCACCCCACCCCACACTAGAGGTCTCAGCAGCGTAGCAACATGTAACGTAGTAAACGATCCCAGAGATCTCAGCAGCGTAGCAATATATCAGGTACGAAGTACAAGGAACGTTAACATCCCCCCCCACCCCACCCCACCCCACCCACTAGAGAGGTATCGCAGGTAGCCACATGTAACGTAGTAACGATCCAGAGATCTCGCAGCGTAGCATATTATTCAGGTACGAAGTACAAGGAACGTTAACATCCCCCCCCACCCCACCCCACCCCACACTAGAGGTCTCAGCAGCGTAGCAACATGTAACGTCGTAAACGATCCCAGAGATCTCAGCAGCGTAGCAATATATCAGGTACGAAGTACAAGGAACGTTAACATCCCCCCCCACCCCACCCCACCCCACCCCACACTAGAGGTCTCAGCAGCGTAGCAACATGTAACGTAGTAAACGATCCCAGAGATCTCAGCAGCGTAGCAATATATCAGGTACGAAGTACAAGGAACGTTAACATCCCCCCCCCCCCCCCCCCCCCCCACCCCCACTAGAGGTACACAGAGGTCTCAGCAGCGTAGCAACATACCCCCCCCACCCCACCCCACCCCACCCACTAGAGGTAGCGTAGCGTAACGTAGTAAACCCAGAGATCTCAGCAGCGCAGGTACGAAGTACAAGGAACGCTAGAGGTCTCATAGGCAACATGAACGTAAAGTGATCCCAGAGATCTCAGGCAGCGTAGCAATAGAGGACGAAGTACAAGGAACGTTACACATCCCCCCCCACCCCACCCCACCCCACACTAGAGGTCTCAGCAGCGTAGCAACATGTAACGTAGTAAACGATCCCAGAGATCTCAGCAGCGTAGCAATATATCAGGTACGAAGTACAAGGAACGTTAACATCCCCCCCCACCCCACCCCACCCCACACTAGAGGTCTCAGCAGCGTAGCAACATGTAACGTAGTAAACGATCCCAGAGATCTCAGCAGCGTAGCAATATATCAGGTACGAAGTACAAGGAACGTTAACATCCCCCCCCACCCCACCCCACCCCAAAATCCAGATATTCAAAAACGCGCGTTTTACGGGAACGGTTTTCGGTCCGCAGGCATATACATGTGCGATGCACCCAACTTGTAACTCAAGGTCTTGGAGGATACAGGAGCCCCCCAGCTCTTTGGGACAAAAACTTGCTACGAGTTTCCAAAATGCTGAACATCTAACATTCGTGTGGATCCTCGTTTTTTTCAAACATCTTCCGTTTTCCATTGAAGATCCGATACTTCAACCTCGTTTTTTTTCATGGAATTTTCATGGTTTTTTTCCCGTTTTTTTTTTTGGTTTTTCTGCTCCCCAAATGGGAAAATCCCACCGAGGAGAATGGACAGGCCTCAGCCTGCTCGGTGGAGGGCCGTTGACCTTGGAGATTCGGCTGGCTCAGCGACTGGTGCGACTGGTGCCTTGACGGAATGCCAAGTTATGCCATGGTTTACCCTCTGGGAAACATACAAAAAACTATGGAAAATCACCATTTTTCATGGGAAAACCATGGAAAACTATGGAAAGATCCACCATTTTTCATGGGAAAATCCACTATTTCAATGACCATTTTCAATAGCAAACTGTTAGTTTACCAGAGGGTATCCATGGTTTATGTGTGCATCGTTTGGTTCCAAGATGCCCCCAAATTATGTAGGGAATGTAGGGTCAAAAATGGGCGATAGCATGCGATAGCCTTCACGGCTGGACATTTTTTGGAGTTCAATGGCTTTCGACCTAATATCATACCATATCTATGTCACTCGCACAAGACGCCAAGATGACGGGTTGATAGTCTCCCAGCAATGCCACAACGCTGAGCACAACGGATCAGAAGCAATGCCAAGTTATGCCACGTGGCAAAGTTTGTGAAATCGGTGACCTCAGTGAAATCCTGAGGTTCCAGAACGCTTCCGGGTGTTTATCAAGGGCCGAGGCCCGTTGGGATGCAAACTGGAAGCGGCTAAGCGGCTTAAGCGGCTTAAGCGGCTTATCGAATTTGATCTAAAGTTGGATAAAGAACGAATGATGTAAAGATGCAAGAAGATCTGAGAAGATCTGAGATGAAGCAAAACATCCACGATTGATAACAGTCAAAACACAGTTGTGAAGCAACTAGCTGCCAACTAGAGAACGCTTGAAAATGCTTGGGATTGTGCAGCAGATTGCTTGAGAGACCGAGAGAGACCGAGAGAGACCGAGAGAGACCGAGAGAGACCGAGAGAGACTGAGAGATTTGGGGTGCGACAGTCACGTTTGAGGCCCTATCCCGGTGGCCCTTCAGCTAGCGCAGCCAGTGGGGCCATCGTATTCCAGCTCTGACACAGATCTCCCAAGATCGTCTGCCAGTGGGATCATTTGGAACCCCTGGGCAGAGATCATGCAGTATGAATAGACATCAGTGACATCACCCTTTTTCAAAGTCTCTCTGTGTCTCTCTTAGCGCTTCTGCTGAAGCAGTCCAAGCGTCTTGTCGCACATGGTACGGAGATGGTGGAACATAGTGATGATATGGTCAGGGTTATGTCATGACGATTCATGACGATTCATGACGATTCATGACGAATGACAAGTGATGAATTATCAATGATATCTCAATGATATCAATAGTGGTCTTCTGGTGGAACTATGTTCCATGTCATCTTGCCAAGTATAATGTGCGCCAATCATCTTTACTGCGTGACGCTTGATCACGCATTTATGGTGGGCTCCACCCTCTACCGGCAAGAAATGATCCTATTTGATTCAATGATCTGTATGCATCCTTGACATTTGATAATAATCGAATTATTTGGTGATTCTCTGTGGCGATGTCGGTTTCTCGGTGGAGCATCGTGTGGCTCATCTCCACACCTTAGGTGTTTCGATGTGTTTCGTGACACACGCAGTCTGGAAGTTCGAAAGTTCGAAAGTTCACGATGTACGTGGGCTCTGTGTTGCCAGAAGGGACTGGCCCCATGGCCCCATGGCACAAGCGGAAACTCTGACCGAATATTGAGCCGTTTCATGATGTTTCATGATGGTTGTCATATGTTGTCATGATGCTTGTTGCATGTTGTTTCAACATGTTTCAACGTTTCACAGTTTTGTTGCTTTTTCAGCAATTTCCTGATGATTACGATGATTCGTGTTGAGCAACAGCTCAACAAGTCTGAGCCGACTGGTGAAGTTCTTGAAGGCTTTGGGTCAAGATAAAGACGATACCGTCGTGAACATCCGATCAGTTCCCAACGCAATGCCCAAAATATATCCGATGTTCACCCAGACATAACTTACAGACTTACAGACGAGGTCGGTGGCATTTTGACCCGTGGCCTTTCACGTCTAAGTTCCTATTTTCCTCCTTCCAACCTCTAGATCATTTGAGGAGGCAAACATGCATGAGTTTGCCAACTGCCAACTCCCATGCGGCTTTTATCACGAACCACTTTTTTGCAATGGCATACTGAGCAGCCCACAAGTTCCCTCGTTCGAATTGAGGACAGTTGATTTATCACCAGAACATTTCTTGAGTCTTGATCCCATTCTTGACTTAGTCTTGACATTCTCGAAACAGAGGGGATTGTCGGAGCTGCTCCATTCCGGTTTTTGCTGCCCATGCCGCCGTATGCCACCATATGTAGGCCATATGCGTCCTGTCCAAGGCTAGTCCACTTTAAGCACCGCGATGCAAAAGGATACGGGGTGCAGCGGCTGCAGTAGCAATTCCGTACACTCATACTCGGTACACAATGGCCCCCAATTGCATACATTATTACTATCATCATCATTATTATTGCCATTATCTGTATTTTTTACACATTTTGATTTTCACATCATGTCAGACCATGTCCTTGGTTTTGCCACGGCTTAGGTGTGCCAATGCCTCCTGCATACGCCGTTGTTACGACGACATTTACATGACACCTGCCAAGAACTTCCCAAGGACGCTGCTAATCCGAGAAAATTCAACGAATTCTCTCAGAGAAGTCAAGTTGAAGTGCAACAAGATGCTTAAAAAGACACGCTTAAAGATGAACACGTAATAAGACGTAATAAGACGTGTAATAACACGTACCAAACTCGACCTTCGGTGATGTCACAGAAACGGATGCTTTTCAGCGAGGATCCATGGTTGGCCGAGCTAGTGGGTCTCTGCAACTCAGCGAAAAGAACACCATGAGTTGACTAAGATGAGAAAATAGGAGCTATAGCTGAGCTATATTTAAGATGAGTCTATAGAGCTGAACTCACCATGAGAAAATCGCGGTCTTAAATTGGTCGAAGGACAGTTTTCACAAATTCAACACATACCATCCCTTTTCAGGAAGTTCTCGAAGATTTTCTGACATTCGATGATGTTTCCCTTCCATGTTTCCAGGTCGTCTCTTGGACGATGCAAAGCGTCGGGGCCTGCGCTATGTGGATCCCCCTCGACGACTCACCAAGCTGATCGCGGAGGCCTGACAGCTACGGCAGTGGCGCCATGTTGAGGGATTCATCCGGATTCTATATGATATTATATGTATATGCGCAGTATATAATATGATGATGTATAATATGATTAATTAACATGATGATATATATATAGACTTATAGATATGATGATAAATATGATTCAATCTCCCATTTATGGTTATTTTGGATGCTACTTTGATGGTGAAATGGCGGATAAGAAAAGCGGGAACATGGCAATTTTTCATAGGAACATTAAAGAAAATGATGGTTAACCATAGATTTTTGGTATTTTCAATTCAAACGCCAAGACGACAGAATCCAACAAATCCGACAAAGCGCACTTCAAGATTCTTAGATGGGATGTCAGCAAGACGTAGCAATTTGATGCAATTTGTGATCCACTTGTTATATCTTATCAATTGTTATCAATTGTTATCAATTGTTTGCCATTGAGCCAGGCCAGTGAAGAGTTTGCGTTTGGCCGACAAGCTGACCCGCACGAAGCTTTCATGATGCTGACTGCCGGATGGCTCGCTGGCTGCGTGAAGGTGCCAAAAAAACTTCTTCTGCATGGGGATGGCCATCATGAAGCATCATGAGGTTTCATATTTGAAGCATCAGAAGGTTTTTCATATTTTAATATACCTCATATGATCACAACCTCCCAAAATCATTGGAAACAGATCCACTAATAGCACATTCCACCAGACGTTCTGGGGTGTCTTCAGTGTTAGTCCATCTTGATCCACATCGTATGGCAGGTGGGCGATGGCAGCGGGACAGATTGTTCCAAGCTTGGGTGCGCCGCAAGATGCTGATGCCAAGTAGAGCGACTGATATGTTTATAGTCATTCATAATTATACTATATTATAATTCATCATCATTATATATATATATGTATAATGACTGATGCTTCTATTGCACTTACGTATGTATGTAATGCAGTGTAATGCAATGTAATGCAATGTAATGCAATGGAATGCAATGCAAAGTAATGCAATGAAATTAAATTAAATGTAATGTAGTGTAATGTAATGTATGTATGTAATTAACATATGCAATAATAAATGTATGCAATTAATGCATGATATGGTATGGTACAAATATCAGTTGTAGTCAGCATATTCAAGCTGCTTGTTGGAGCGAAATCTGCAGTTTAATGGTTTCGGCTGCTGCGATAACTGCGTTGTCATGCGAGGTACTCGGAGAAGGAACAATTAGAGGCTGCAGGGCCCATCAAAAGTGTCAACGAAATAACTTCCCTTGACGACTAATTGATTGGAAACCAGACATATTCAGATGCTTTAAATATTCTAAATACAACACACATATACAAAGATCTTGACACATGTATTGATAATATGTTTTGATGATTTTGATGATTTTGGTGCATGTGTTGATTGTGTTGTGCCTTCTGCTGCATCCCTGCACTTGTAGGCGAGCAGCATGATCGGCCATGTCTTCGGTGGAATCATGGGCTGCACGGCTGCAAGATGCTGCAAGTAGTGCCTAGTATGGCCGCCCAGTATGGCCTGTTAATGTGATTCGATGTGATGCGATGTGATGGAGGGAATAGTTTCATTTTCTGATGCGAGAAAATCATTGGCATTTGAAGCGACGTGACTTCTGTTGGCGGCGTCAAAGAGCTGTTTCAATATCTAAACACAAGTGTCAACAGAACCCAAAGATTTGCAACACTGGTTCCCATTGCCAACTCAGAACTGAGAATCTGCTCTTGGCACGTCAATAGTGACTCAGTGGTGTGCAATAGCTCTCCATGACTTCCGTGAAAGGTTCCTTAGTTCGCTGCAAGTCTTGCACCTATGAGTCCTTGGTCAGCCGTGTGCCCCTGACGATTTTACCATTCGACAGCAGATCTTTGGGACAGTTCAATTCCATAACATGCAGGGTGAACTTGGGTGAAATTGTGTGATGTGATAGCGTGTTGTGGATTCGAGTGATTAATCTGAGTTTCATGCTAGTAGCGCCCAGTGCTGTCAAAGTTGCAGATCCCAAATGTTGCAAATATCATCAAAGATATTTCGCTTGAATTCAATTGAAGCATATTGAAACTTTTGACCTAAGAACCCTCATTTTTCCAGCACGACGGCACTCAGAATGCCAGGTGGAGTACTGCCTGTGCCTCACAGTGACACTGGGTATGACGGAGGAGGAGTTGCAACGTTGTCGCCAGGAGCGCTATCACGCTATCTCCACGAAAGGTGTGACGTTGGGTATCTCAAGTTGTATATATATATAGTTTATCGATGTTTATCGTGTATACTTTATGATGTTTGTTTCGAGTATTTTTTCCACCAGAATGATCCACAACGCAGATATCACACTTTCAGTATCAATTTGATATCAACTTGATTTTGGTACTTTCACTTGATTTTGGTCCAAACTGAAATTTGAGACTTCATCCCAGGAGAGCGCACAACAACTGAATCGTTGGTGCCTTCGTCGACCTTTGCAAGGAGCGAAGCTGCACGCAGTGGGGAAAAGCATATCAAGCTGCATCAAGCTCTCAAAACCAAGACATTGGGACTGGAGTTCAGGCATCGAAATATCAAATAAAATGACACCAATATCCAATATCATCCAATATCATCCAATATCATCCAATATCCAACTATCTCCATGACAGTGGGAAACTCTGAATCCCAATGGATTGGAGGCTCCAGACAAGAGTCTTCTGCCAGCCCTACATCTCTGTCGGATCTTCTCGATGAGTCCGCTGGCTCTGTTTTTTTTATTATTAATGGTATTTTAAAATGTTACATGATATTCATGATATTCATGATATCTTTACCATGATACATGATATTCTAATATATACATATTGCATGATATACATGATATTCATGATATTACATGATATTACATGATATTGCATGATATTACATGATGTTACATGATATTGCATGATATTACATGATATTGCATGATATTACATGATGTTACATGATATTGCATGATATTACATGATATTACATGATATTACATGATATTACATGATATTGCATGATATTACATGATGTTACATGATATTACATGATATTACATGATATTAGCTCAATCATACCCGACATGTCATGATGGTTTTGGGCTCCATAGCTTGGTCCCGAAGCAAACTGGTGATTAGATTATGATTAGATGAAGGATGAATGCAGTTGACTGAGTTGAAGATGGTGGGCATCTTGAAACATCTTGAAACATCTTGAAACATCTTGAAACCAGCGGATTCCGCAAGATTTTTTGATTTTTTGATAAGGTACACCAAGGCAGAGCACCTTGAAGGCTTCAAGTGTGACAAGTCGCGTGCCCAGATCGACAATCCAAGGGGATACGATGTACACAATGTACCTCAGTGTACCCGGTGAATCATCAATTGATTCGACCATTCCATTCCCTCACTGAACTTGGGCCGAGGTGCAAACAAGAAGACTGCGAGAAGAGAGCCTTCATCCGCCGTCGGCCGAACGCCTTTGTGATTTACATCAATCGTAGACAGGACTGCAGTCAGAGCGGTGCATAAGCTGAGAAGTGGTGCCTGGCACGAGCCAGGACACCAATCTTTTTGGCAAGATCAATCGGAGGCAGAAGTGCTATCGATGGTCATTTGGCCATTTGCTGATTGCTCGCTGATCATTTAAATTTTCATGCCATTTGGCTGCAGAAATCTGCAGAATTTGATGCTTGATGCTTGGTGCTTGGTGCTTGCCTGCAGGGTGAGCTTCCCTACGAAATTGGATTTGAGTGCCTCGGTGAACAAAACGGAATCCAAGAAATCCAAGAAGTATTTCGTCAAAGTCCCATTTGCAGGAAGGAAGATGAAACATATACGAATATGATATATGATACACACATATATATATCTATATATGATATATGTATTATATATATCTATATATGTATTATATATATCTATATATGTATTATATATATATATATATCTATATGTATTATATATATATCTATATGTATTATATATATATATATGATATATGATATGAATATGATATGACTCAACGGTCATGGCGCTTAGGCCGCTGGATTCCCCCAGAAGACATCCGTCAATTCGGCGAGTGCAACGGAGGCCCAAGTGGCCCAGCATTTTTTCAGGACGCCATGACCAGGACAGGACCATGACGTGACCATGACATGCCATGAGGCATGGACTACCTGCTGTATGCTCTGTGTGTCCACCACGATTTACGGCGTAGCTGGCGCGTTTTGAGGAGCTTGAATTGTAACGTGCTATGCCATGCTATGACACGGCAGGGGTTCCACAGCCTCCGGGCACTATGTCGCATATGCTCGGGACCGTCACAACAGATGGCCAGTCACCTCAGTCACCTCAGTCACCTCAGTGCCATGCTGCGTGGCTGGTTTCGAAATGGTTTCGGGGTGCTTCAAAACAGCACAGGGTTTTTTTCGGGTTCCCAAAATTCCCAGGGTTCCCCAAACTGAGGTTCCACATCGACGACGAGACGGCCCGGCAGGTCCAATGGCAAGATGTGGAAGAGTCTGGAGCTCGGGCGATGTTGGGACGGTGGACTGTGCCGCGATGCCATGTGAGTCCTCCAAGATCCGAGGCAAAGTCAGCACGTTTCGGTGCTGTTCTATATGGCGGAGACTCCTGTGGATATGGATCCTTGGCGTCGAAAATAGGATCACCAACAGGTGGCCAACAGGTCACCAACCAAATAGTAACCAAATCGGATCCTGTTGGCTGTGGGATCTATGTGTCGTATGGGTGCAACAGTGGGTTTTTGACAGAACGGAGATGCTGGCTGTTTTTGGAATTTCGACAGGTTCAAGTGATGAACACGACTTTTGGACTTCATGTCAGACACGTGGCAGCGTGGCAAGGCTGAGTCAGTTCCCATCAGTGAAGAGAAAGGAGGACCACATGAATCCATCGAGGAGGTGGGGTTAAAAATTGTGCTACAACTCAGCCGGATAGGTCGGATAGGTATTGCAAGATCTGGATACACTTGAGATTGGTGAGTGGTTTCTTGCACCACTCGTCTTCATTGAATTGGTGGCACATGTCTTGAAATTTGCTGAACATGGTATTTCCACAGCTATTAGGCACTTTGCTTGGATATCTTTGTCTAAGATTTCAGATTCATGGTTTTTCAACCTTTTTTTTTTCCGTATTTTTCCTGTTCTGAACGACCTGAACGTTTGAGAACAGTGGACGTTTTGATGGTTTGATGGCCCAGTTCTCCAGTTCAATCCCCAAGTTGCTTTGATGGCGCCGTTCTCCTTGCAGACTGCAACTGCATCACCCACAAGCCCGACAAGTCCCAGCAAGGACTGACCTTGGCGGAGAAACTGTAGAGAAACTGCGGGGAACGCGTGGAGAGACTGATGCAGTTAAGTAAATGTAGGGATATGATATGTAGGGATATGTGGTGATATGTGGGGACTTTGAAAGTTGTAGGCAGGGTATCCATTTCAGAATAGGCCCACTTGGGGCCTGGCAAATCGAAATTTCGATCCACCATTTTCCCAACATTTGGAGTTGAACGATGTGAACAGGAGCAGGTGCAGAACGGCTCTCAGGACGACAAGACCCTCGGTGTGCAGAATGTCAAGGCAACCGAGGCAGCCGCACTGATGGGGGGACTCTGGTGATGCTGGTGATTGTGGTGATATGTGGTGATGGTGTGCAAGTATGGTATGTCAGCATGTTTATGTGATGGTGACATATGGCGACCATGCTGCAGCTTGGATTGAGTTGCTTGAGCAGGCTTCCGACGACTTCCGAAATCTGACAGTGCAAGAAACTGTTTCACACCAGCCAGATGTGCTGGGCACAGACGGAAAGAGACCCTCAGAAATCCAGAGAGAGACCGTTGAGAGATCCTCAAAAATCGAGAAAGTGAAGTGAAGCACTGAGAAAGCACATGTTTTGCCTGGCATCGGTGGTATCGTTGTTGCTTGTGCATTGCTCACATTTCAACAAGTAAATGTAATTTGCTGACAGTTTTTGTTTCTCTATAGTGAAGCAGTAACATGCAGTAACGCAGTGATGGCCCAGACCACGTGCTGTCCAGCACCATGCAAAAATGATTGACCAGACAAAGTAAAGAGCAGGCAGCAAACAGAAAAGCTCAAACGCAGCAGATCCCTTGGACATCATTGGACATCATTGGACATCATTGGACATCATTGGACATCATTGGACAGGAGAACGGGACACGAGGGACACGAGGGACACGAGACGCAGCTGAATTCGCGAAGAAATCGAGCAAACCTTGGAAGATCCCATCCGCAGCGTGAGCCCAATCTGATCAATCTGTGCAATGGGTGGGTGTCCCAAGGTGACACCGACATGGAAAGAGGTGACGATACGGATACCAAAGACACGGAAAGACATGGATACTCTGGATACCGTTTGCTGTCTTGTGACGAGACATGTAACGCGCAAGCTCGACCTTTCAACCTTTCAACCTTGCTCAATCGAACGACTTTCTCCAGGTATTCTCAAGGTATTCCCGGTAGCGAGTCCATCCATGTGGTCCATGTTGTCTCGGTCCATGTTGTCTCACTGAGGTTGTGTTCAGAGGGACAAGGACGTTCGAAGAATCCAGTATCATGTCTCAGTCAGGCTTGAATGATATGCCAAAATATGCCGAAAAATCATTAAAAAATCCATTTGCAGAATTCATTTGATTCACTTCACACCCGAAATGAATATCTGTGAACGCCCGGAAATTGGTGACCTGGTGGTGACCTGTTGGTGAAGGTTATTGGTGGTCACTGGTGGTCACTGGTGGTCACCGGTGGTGCCATGGTGCAGGACGTTGGATCCGTTGGATCTGTTGGATTGGACTCCTGGGAGCGTCCCTTGTGGCGAGAGACGCGTGTGGTGTGCGGCGTGGACGAAGCAGGACGTGGGCCTTTGGCTGGACCCGTGCCTTGGAACACGAAAACGAAAATCGACGAAAACCAACGAAAACCAACGAAAGGCGGTAACTCTTGGTATTTTGACTTTCTCCAAAACCCGAAGTGGAAATGCAAAAACGTACTGGTAGTTTGTTTAGCCGTTTAGCCATGTTTAGCCATGTTTAGCCATTACAAATACATTCAAACCCAAAAAATTGGGTGATCTCTTCGCCCCCAAAAATGTGTGAAGCCGTTGAAGCTGTCCTGCTGTGAGGTGGTTGCCGCTGCATTTGCTGTTTTGTCGCCAGATTCTGAGGCCTCAAAACTCAGTCGTCACTTCTCCTTGAAGCGAAAAGCATCGAAAAACATCGAAAAGCATCGAAAAACATCGAAAAACATCGAAAAGCATCGAAAAACATCGAAAAACATCGAAAAGCATCGAAAAACATCGAAAAACATCGAAAAACATCGAAAAACATCGAAAAACATCGAAAAACATGATAAGTTTCATGACAAGATATGAATAGCAACAAGATATGACATCCACACTTGGATCTGGATCCGACACTTTGATGACTATGATTGAACTATCCCAAAGAAGACAAACACAAACAAGACATATCTTTGGACGAAGCAAGTACCAGACAGATCCAAACAGTTCAAGATGATATTTTTAGTGAAGCGAGATTTCGAGGGTTGTGCGACTTCAAAGCCGGTCGTAAACAGGTGACTTTGAACAGGTCTTGGAGCTTTCTATGTTCACTGTTGGAACGTCATCAGCAAACCATGACTCGCAAAACCCCTCATTCATGCCCAAATGGATGTTTTTGGTGGGGTCATAATAGATGCATTTTTTTTTACATGGAACATGCCTGCCCAGATCACACATCTCGAAAATGGTAACTCATGGCTGGTAACCAAGCTGAGTCCCAACAACTACATTGAGATCATAATCATAACTACGTATAACTATCCACAGTTATCATCAATTATCCATAACTATTCATTGAAACTATTCATATAACTTATAACTATTTATAACTATCCACAAGTGCCATAGTTTCACATCTCCCAAGGGTCCCGGAGGTTCTGGAACTGCTGAGCCGCGTAAACGATTCCAAACAGCTGGCTGAACAGCAACGCGAGGAGCTTTACCAGGACCATGCGGGAACCTCTTGGAGTGGAGCAAATCATGTTGGAGTTGGAGTTGGATGCTGGAAAATATAGTGAAAAAAAAGTTGACATAGGGAAGATGCTTGGAATCATTGAGCTGATGTTGGAATAGATGTTCCGAATCAGGATGTTTGTTGATTTGCTATGATTTGTTGATGGTTGATGTTTGCTTCTTTGGCCTCTCCAGAGTTTCTTTTTCAACAGATGGGAACTCTAAAGAACTCTGGAGCAGGAACTCACAGATGAGAAGTTCCTCCATCGAACTGTTTGGGCGGTGGCAGAGTCCTCCGCAGCGGATATCGATGCTTGCAACATCCTGCAGGCCGCCTTACCAGGGTGAATTAGGAGCAACATGGATTACTGTAACAGCTTTGGTACATAGATATCATAGATCAACCAATATCAAGGTATATCGAGGTATATTAATATATAATATATATATACACATCAAAATGTTTTTTTTTGGGAGGTGAAAAGGATTTGACTACGAGCCATCCTTTCAAAATAGGGATTGAGTTTTTTTTTTCATGTTGCCAAATTAACAGAATCAACATGAATCAACCCAATGTTACCAACATTTCGACTGAGCTGTGCAGAATTATGCCCCAGCCACAGCGATCGTCCTCCAGGCATCTCTTTCTGCCATGGCCCGGGCTGTGGAGGCGTTGAAGGTCCCAGTGCTTTGGATGCAACGCTGGGCTACACATCTGGCTGTGGAATCCCATTAAATGTGGGGCCTTGAAGCCAAAAAGTCCAACACCGGACAGCAACACCAATAAATCCAATAAACATGTCTGTTTTTTTTATTTAAACTGAGAGTTTCTCATGAAACTCATAGCATCTCCGGATCTCCATGGGACAATCTGTCGTTTTTTGAGGATCAAGAGCTACATGTCCTGGTGGATGGCTGCAATCGGCCACCCGAGCTGTTGGCAGATGGGGAGAAGTGGACGCGAATGTCCCAGAGAGATATCGAAGCGGCCAAGAACCAACGGAAGCTGTCGCAGTTCTTTTCCAAGAAATCGAAATCCGAGAAATCTGAGTTGGGAGAGATGGAAACTGACGATATGAAAGATATGAAAGATGTGGATGTGAAGCACGTGAAAAGATGTCGTCCCAAGAAAGTTGACGCTGTGATTGAGGGTGATGGCCGTGTGCCTTCTATTTCTGCTGCCTCTATCATTGCCAAAGTCCACAGAGACCGACTCATGGAAGGGTTGGACAAAGAGTATCCAGCCTATGGCTTCAAGGCTCACAAGGTGGGCGCAACCGGGTTCTGTTCATATTGCAATTCGGTGCAGAATTGATGGAATTCTTTGAACATGTCTGAACATGTCTGAATGCTGAATGGAGAGTTGTGGATTTGCCAGAGCCGAAGAGTTTCTGCAGTCTTTTAGCTTTGGTTCTGGATTCTGGTGCTTGCGGAACGGCCCAGTGGCCCCCAATTGAACGGTGTCTGTTTGTTCTTTGTGCTCCATCACCGACAAGAACCACATACAGACCACTTTCATCTTCCAGTCTGAGACCAAAACAGCCACCACTTATACACTTGTGAAATCTTGTGAACGTAGCCATTAGAGGGCCTGAAATGCACTTTTCTATGGCGCTTGCTGGGTGCATCGTTCTTTTTGGGATTCAAGTAGCACTTTCGATGTCAGGGATATGGCACTGAAGCTCATATGCAAGCGATTCGCGAACACGGAGTTTGTATCGAACACCGCAAGAGTTTTGCTCCCATCAGGTGGGTCATGGTGGGTCATGGTGGGTCATGGTGGGCCCAGCCCCCTGGTGGCGGTGGTGGCTCCCTGCGAGGCAAGCCTTGGAGAAGCAAAGCGACATCTCGGTTCGGAGACCCGGAGAGAAAACCGTGATGAATGCAGTGATGCAGTGATGCAGTGCAGATGTACCTAGTGAATATATATAGTGAATCGAGAGCATTGAAATCACTGAAATCAGGATTTCCCATGATTTTCCCTTATCATCAGGACATATCGAGGTTACATCATGTTACACGTGTTGCATGCCATTGAGGCTTTTGGAGCAGCCACCAATGCCACCAGTGCCACCAGTCACTTGGAGATGGCAAGGTGATCACAGCTGTGATTTTGAGCAATGGCTCTCCACGCTTTTGCAGGGTTGTAGCGTAGCATTTGCGGGTCAGAAAGGTACGAAGGTATGAAGGATTGAGTTGAATTATCAGAGGATCTCCGCAAAAACACGGCGATTTGCGCATCCTAAAAAGACGGCTATGACTATGAGGTTCAAAGCCAAAGAAAACTCCAAGCAAAGGCCCTTGGAGAGCTCTTCAGTACCGGACATTTCTCCCCATGAGCAATGGCCACCCCCGTCATGGAGCATATTGGCACCATGGAATCAGTTGAAGCAGTTGAATCAGTTTTTCACCAGTTCGCCACACCTTTAAGAACTGACCAAACATCAAAGCTGTGCAGGGACGAAGAAGACTGGGCTCAAAGCCAAGGGCTGAAACTTTCAATTGGGACACAACTGGGCGGGGCCCAGCTGTGCAATTCTGCCGGGGGAAAACAAAAAAATGGTGAAGATTGATGTGATGATAGTGATGTGAAGATTTTTTTTGTTTCTCATTTCCGGTGTCGAAACCGTTTTTTTCTTTTGCATGGACAAGAGTCGTTGAACGGACAGATCCTGACGCTTTTCCGCTTGAGAAATCTTGAGATTCTGCTGTTTCCATGTAAGAAGTGCGTGGTGACGTGGTGTTTCTACAGATTTCTTCCTGCTATTCCTGCAGTATCCGAGCAGGGCCTGGTTTGTCCGTGTTTGTTGTGCGTCGCAAGCCGCATCGCCAGCGTCAGCATCGCCAGCATCGCCAGCATCGCCATGGAGATGCTACCGAAGAGGATGACTCACCGCGCGACACGCAGGAACCAGACAGAGACGGAGATCATGAATGAGGAACAATCTTGTGTAATCGCAGTGATTTGCAAGTGTGTAACCGCAGTTATGTGCAAAAAAACTGTGTGTCATGTTCATAATTGAAGCTACATTGCACAACACGGATCATGGCACATGAAGTGGGTTGCTGCCAAAAAACTAAACGAGATGTGGGTAGACTGACATTATCCATATTCACTGACTGTCTATTCATTGGACATTTTCAGAGAGAGAGAGAGAGAGGATAGACGTATTCATCTGTGGCTCTATTAGCGGATGTTGCCCTTCGGGCACCTTTTTTTTAGAATACGTCCACACAATTTAAACCAAAAGCATCGAACAATTTAGACCCATCTTTCCTTCTCCTTTTCCCGCGCAGGAACATGTCACCAAAACCATGGAACAATTGAAAAGTCTCCGCTATCGCAGTTATTCCATGGAAAAACCATGGCTGGATGCAGAAGGAAATTTGATTTGGTCTCGCAACAGGATGACTGCTGCTCGGATCGCTTTCTCTCAGAGCTTCGAAACCTGTATGGGAATTATTATTTTGGCCAATTTAGTGCTGATCATCTACGAGGCCAACGAGGGTGCCAAGTGCTTTCCAGACTATTTCAAGAACATCAAAGACTGTCCCTATACCAGTGACTCGAATCTTTGGCTCTACATGTCCAATGTGATTTTGCTTTTGATCTTTTCTGTGGAGTGTTTGTTTCGAGCCTATGTGGAACGTGGATAATACCTGTGGAACAAATGGAATCTCATCGATCTCTTTACGGTTCTCTCCGGCTGGGTTGGTCTGGCAGCCTCCAATGCGGGCATACCCGTCACGCTGCTGCGGAGCCTTGCCAAGATCTTGATGTAATTTGATGTAATTTGATGAATCTTAGCCGTGTATGTTAGCATATGTTAGCATATTATATGTTAGACTCTGTTAGACATTTATTCAGTGGAAATTTGAGGACCCTAAAATGGAGATACTGTACCATATAAGGCCATATTTTGTGGGGATATCCCCTTACATAGGCCTTATGTAGGCATTATATATGGTAGGTACGTCCAATTTAGGTTCCTGACATGGCCATTGATTTATGTTAGACATTTATGTTAGTATTATTCTGTTAGTATCATGTTAGCATATGTTCGTATATGTTTCACCTATATACGCTACCTTCAACAGCTTGCACGAAAAATGTGACGCGCTCTTGCATAAGAATCTCTCACAGGTGCGTATTGGACTGCCCTGCACTGCCCTGAGATGTTGATATTTGTCCCTCAGCACTGCTGAGGATGTTTCGGCTAGTCCGAGTGGTGCGAGCGCTGCGGTTCTTGATTTCTGTCCCAGAATTCTATTTGCTGATCACAGGGTTGTACTCCTCCATCAAAGCCATCGTCTTCGGTGTGATCCTGCCATGATTTCAGTGCCATCTTACTGCTGTTACTGCTGTTCTGTATCTGACATGGATGTCATATCATTGTTATTCAACTGTTATTCCGAATATTCCTTTCATGCCCTTTACCCATTGCTAGTTGCTGCTAGTTCTACATTCCTCACATTAGATGCATGACGTCATCATGAAGTGATGCATGAAGTCATCATGATCCCAGATCTTCCCAGATTCCGGCGCGGCAGGCGCTGATGCTGGTGTCGGTGATTACCTTCTGGGCCGTGATTTCGGTGGAGGTGTTACATCCCATCACGTCCGGCATGACCTGGGAGGACTGCGATCGATGCCCGGATGGCTTTCGTGGCATCTTTGCAGCAGCCCTGACCTTGTTCCAGCAGATTGTGGCGGGAGATTCCTGGGGAACCATCTCCATTCCCTTGGTGGAAACCGCACCATGGACGGCGGTTTTACTCTTCTCCATTTTGATCACCATCTCCTTGGGGATGCTGAACTTGATCTTGGCAGCAGCTTGACAAAACGGGCCAAGTTCGTGGATTTATGATGTACTAACTGTATCTGAGGTATCGATTTTTGTTTAGTTCAAGGATTCTCAATATAATATATATATAGATTACATATATATATATATATGTAATATAATATATGATTTATGATTTATATGTGTTTTGATTTGTTCTCAACTGGTGACATCAATTTCACGGTTCAACGTAAAATGACATCAACCCATCTCAATTCTTCGTATGCCCTCCTTGAAGGTCATCGTGGAACGTGCCGCAGAAGCTCGAGAGAACGACCACGAGGCAAAGATCAAGAAGAAAAATCAGGATTGCTCCAGGAGTATGGAAGACTTGGCCGGCATTTGTGCAGCTGATCTGCAACCATCTGCAACCTTTTATGTCAAGGTTTGTAGAAGGGTGTGAACTGGTTTGACAGAAAGTTACCTTAGGCCTTAGGCATCCAAGGTTCAGATCTTAAGCGTCTATATATACCGAATTTGCAAAGACTTTCATGTCTGGAATGGCAATGGCAAACCTTGGAAATTAGACAGTTGAGCAGCACAAATTGCGATCTTTGATAAACACTTGTAGTTTTTGATGTGTTTTTTTCCGGGTGGATTCTGCTTGCTTTTTCAATCTGATTGGCGGCGAGGCTAGCATGGATGAGAACAACAATGGTATGATTTCCTATGAGGAACTTTTGAAGGGCTACGATGAAGTCGGCGAGTTCAAGAGATTTATGGATTTGATGGATTTGAAGCGTGAAGACATGGCCACCGTGTTTAATGTCCTGGACACAGGAAACACACAGGAAGTTCTGTACCTGGAATTCTGCCAACATTTAGGAAATTTCTTCAAAAGAGATCCTGTAATCATGCATTCTCTGGTGAAATATTCAGTGATGGAATTGCGAAAACTTTTGGAACACGACATTTTGCATCACATGGAGCACCAGTCGCAGATGCTGCGACTCTTGCTGCGGGATCGGGGCTTGGCTGAACCGACACCGAAAGCGGCACCGATGAAGGCTGATGGCCATGATAGCCATGATGACCATGGCAGTCAGGGCAGCCATGATGGCCATGGCAGTCAGAGCCTGTCCAATTTGTCCCAGGAGCTGCAGGTGTTGGAAGCAGAACTGCAGCCATTGTTGGCAAAAGCTCAGGAATTGGTCGATTCCATTACTGTTGAGGCACGAGAAGATACAATTGACATCGACCAAGTGGCCATGGATGTCCAATTCCACGACATTTCGCAGAGGTTTCAAGCGAGAATTTCCGACGCCCAGCGTTTACAAGACCGCTGCAGCAGCCTATTGCAAGCTCCCCATGCTCCACAAGCTCCAGCTCCCATAGGGAGCGATGTTCACCACCGTGCTCAAAGTCCGACAGCCGGGAAGGCGAACAATGCGAGCAATGCGAGCAATGCGAAAAATACCCCAAGTGCCCCAACTGGGACATCTGCCAAGGCGAACCGCCCTGGCATGTCCGAAGCGGCTTAGTTTCACCTCGAAGAAAAGGATGGCGGGCCAGCATTGTCGAGATGGCAGCCATAATGGATGGAAGGACTCTTCCAAGAATTGGATCAATTATGGATAAATTGGATGGATAAATTATGGATAAATCCTTCTGTTTTCTCGATGTGTTTTCTTACATGTTTCAGCATGTTTCAGCATGAGCACAGTTCATCCATCCCAGCCCTCCAGGTCTCTCATGGAATCTCTGGTTCAAGCCCCGCCCCTGATGAGTCCGGTGCTGCGCTGGGTGCTGCTGTGTGCAGCTGTGCGTGCCCAAGAGCCTCAGTCAACATGTGCTCTGCAGTCGATGTTTTTATTTTCCCATATTTTTCCCATATTTTTCCCCCTCTTTGGGGATGAGAATCCCATGATAATCCCATTTTTATTTGGGTGAAGACATGAATCCCATGGATTTCAGATGAGTTTCATCTTCTATATCTTCTCGAGTGCTGAGATGTTTTGGAAGATCCCGCAATCTCGCTGAAGGAGATTGCCAGCCTGCTAGGGCCCAGAGCGTGCAGTAGATGGAGAAAGCACCAGGCGGACTGAAACTGGCAGACTGAGTCGAACGAATGGTGGAGAATAGTCAGATGTCTGAAGCAAGTTGAGTGTTGACATTTCTATACATTTCTCATCATTTCTCTATCGAATTCGTGATCCGCAGCCCTTGGAAAAAGTCACAGCTGGTACCACAACAGCCAGTTGATGTCACTTCGCAGCGGATTTCCCCATGGTTTTTCAAACATTTTCAAACTATGGCTCAAGAACGCTCGAGCAGCATCTTTTGTTTGACACTCAGAAACTTATCTCTCCCGCCAGTCGCCATGGCCAGTGAAAGGGCCAAGATTCGGGAAGAGCTTCGCGCCAAGATTGCGCGAGGCGTTTTTTTTGTGCTCGTCACGTTATGAACAAATGCAGTTGGACAGATGACCCATTAGATTAGGTCATTAGTTCATCACCGATGTCGCACATTCGATCACCCATAGTGGCCAGTTCCGAATCTCTTGGCTGCAAAACCTCTGCAGTTTCCTGTTCATTGGTTGACGACTGGAGGCGAAGCTCCGAGACCATCCAAATTCAACCAGCAAAACATGAATTAACTGGGTTGATTCCAACGCAACTCGCATTTGTTTGCATATATTTGGACATATTCCAGCCATTGTCTCAACACTTGCTAAGAGCAGGCACCATGCTTCCAAGATCTTCAAGTGGATTTTGGAAGATTTTGGAATCTTTTGGAATCTTTTGGGATTGTAGAATATTGTAGATACTTTTGACTCACTACATCCCTCCGGAATAAACTTTGCTGCAACTTTCCAGCTCAGCAGCTGCAGGTTCATTCAGTGCCCAACGAAGAAGTGCGAACGCCCAGGAGTAGATCCGGGAGAATTTTGGAGAGATCTGGAGATTGTACTCTGATATTTGCATATGTTTGCCATGGCTGCTGACATTTTAGAATAAATAGTTGGGTAATAGTTGGGTGTACTCTGATAATATCCCTGAATATCCCACCCAACTATCTATTACCCAACTCGCCTTTCGGAATTGACACTGCCGCGCTAGGAGGCTTCATTCAGTGAAGACCAGCTGGTCGATCAACTTAAGCGCTTGCAGCCCAGATCCAAAGGTGGTTTGATCTATCAGAAGTACGACAACTTCCAATTCTACTGGATGCTTGGTTGCAAATCCTTGGAAACCTTGGAAACGTTGGAAACCTTGGAAACTGTGACTCCAAGTTCCCAGAAGTGACAGCATGTGACCATTGCATGTGACAGCTTACTTTTTAAAGCATACAATATACATTTCTGAGTGGAAGAGAATGGAAAACATTGCCTGTTTGAGTCTGCAAGATCAACAAATCTCAGGAGACATCCAGCACTCCGACTTCTGTTTGTAATGGTGCTCTGGCTGTTGGACATGTACATTTTTGGTGAGGACCAGTTGAAACCTGCAAGATCTGTGAAATTTATCATCCCGTCCCTATGAGTGATACTCGATCTGTGACAGGACCCCACCACATATTCCAAGACGCCCTGCCGCATCGGGGGCATCGGTCACATCGTCAACGTCTTTTTCCCGACATCGGAAGATACCGTGCCATGGATCTTGCTGCGTATCATCCTCGTGACGACCTTCCTGCTAGGAGGAGTCTTCTTCGCCAAGATCTTGAAATCCCGACTGGCCTTGCGCTTTGAGATGTTTACCTACAAGGGCAGTTACTTCATCATCACTGCAGCAGTTCTGGTCATTGATCTCGTTCTTTGTGCCAAGGTCTACAACTGGATTCGATGGAAGGTCCTTTGCAATAGCTACACTGCGCCTTGTGCCTGTGAAGATGTGAAATGTGGTGGTTACATCTCCAATGACTTGCACATTCGGAACGACACTTTCGCACATCTGACGCAGTGTGGAGCTTTCATTGCCGACACCCTGGCCGTCTTTTCGGTGTTGGACTTGATTTTGCAGGACGACAGCGTGTACCGCTTGGGCAGCGGCTTGAATATTTCGGGCTTTTGGGAACGACATCGGACACATCTCCTGTGGGGCAGCTTCAGTGTGGTGATGCTGTTGGGCGTCCCATCCATTTTTCTCAGCCACAAGGCCCTGGCCACGTATCAACAGGGGAACTCAGTGACACATCGCTCCAATGTGGGACGGATGGTGGTGGCTGGGTGCCTTTTTGTGGTGGATCTTTGTATCGTGACTCAAGACTTAGACTTTCCACATTTTGAGAACTCACTGGAAGTGATGCTGCTTGGTACCAACATTGCTTTTGAAGGACACCAGACAGGGCAGACAGGGCAGACAGGGCGGACAGGGCGACTGGATGCTGATAGAATCCACAGAATTCACAGAATGCACGGTGGCGTTGTGGAGGTTAATGACCATGTGTTAAGCAGTCTTGGATGTGCACCGTGTCATTCTCCAACAGCACATTGAATCAATTTTAATAGGCGAACTCTTCTTCTGGATTGCCAGATGCTTGTTTGATTCCCGGAATCCATTGAGATTTCATTGGTATACGGTATACATCACATACATCTCATTCACATAGATCCAAGTTGTGTTTTCACTGAAGGATCATTTATCAACTATATCATGGTGTTTGTCTCGATGCTTCTGGACCTGAACTGCTTGTATACGCAACTCGTGCTGAAGTGGACGACGTGTTTTTTGGTGTTTTTTGGATGGTGTTTTTTGATGTGTTTTATTGATCCTTCTAATTGGTGTTTTGATGTGTTTTATGAATTTCTGGCAGTTTGAGGCACGGATGGTACAGGCCCTCTGACTATGGTCAGTATTATGTGACCGATCGAAGACTTTGCAATTTGAAGAATACATCGATGTATCGCCAAGTGGATTGCAGCAGTGAGACATGTCCCTGGATCAGACTGGATCCAAAGCTGTGGAACAACCGCACAGAATGTGAAGACCCCAAGCTGTTACTGGGCTCCAGATATCATCCCGAAATCGTCAAATATCGCTACTATTTGGCCATTGTGCCCATCCTCACTGGCATCATCATCTTCTGCAGTCTCTTCCGATTGGCAGGCCATGGTGACGAGAATGATGATGATTATGATGATGATCCTGGTGGTGGTGGATGATGTGAGCTTGTAATGATTGTAGTGAGCTTGTAATGGAGTATACGGGATGATGATGGATGATGATCCCTCACCCTGGCCACAGGTAGATCGCCACAGAATTTGTGCCGGCGAGTGGTGATTTCCAACGCCTTTGCTGCCAAGAAGATTGAGGACAAAAGATTTTCAGAACGGTGAATTCAGAAGAGAACTGAAAAACAGACTGCAAGCGAAGGAAATCATTTGTATTGTATCCCCCCCCTTTAACCCTGGAATATTTGGGGGGGGGGGTAAGGCAAGAAATTTCTGAGAAATATTTCACCTGACCACATGAAATATACACCCCCCCACATGTTTTTGGGGCTTGCAAAAGATGTGGGGGGGGGGTCCTCCGGATGCAACATTTTAGCCCAGAGATGGTATGGCACACCCTTTCATTTTGAACATATACATACATACATACATACATACATACATACATACATACATACATACATACATACATACATACATACATACATACATACATACACACATTCATACTTTCATACATTCATATATTATATATATATACACATACATGTACTTAAATACACATAATGTATGTAATATTGGCACAAACATACTTACAGAAAAATGCAACGGTGAAATTTTTGAGGGGGGGTAGTTGCAAAACCATGGTATTTTACAGTTCTAGCAGGGTCCCCCCCCAAAAAAATCCATTGCCAATGCTGGAGGAGCCCCTTCTTGTTTCCTACCCCTGCGGTAAATAAATAATTACAACAGCGAAATTTTTGAGGGGGGGTAGTTGCAAAACCATGGTATTTTACAGTTCTAGCAGGGTCCCCCCCCCGAAAAAAATCCATTGCCACACTTACGCGGGTAGGGCCCACGCGCAAACCACACAACTAGGTAAATGGATGTAAATGGTAACTGCCAGTTTCCAAGAAAATAAATAAGAGAGTGAACTTGTCAAACAGCCTTCAGAGCTTGACGTTCAGCCTTGAATTCAACCAGGCCCTGGAGAGACCATTATAAACCAGAAATTTTTAGCTGAAATATTTCTAGGTGTGGGGGGGGGGTGACCCCCCCAAAGTGAAATATTTCAGTTTTTAACCACCCCCCACCCCCCCCTCGCCTTAAAGGGGGGGGATTGTATTGTGAAGTCCCAGATTCTTTGTACGAAATGCTTCCTGAAGTGCAAAGCTTGTTTTCCAGGAGTACGAGTCACGGTCTATTGAAATGACGGAAGTCACAGGTGTCTTGGCCCGGTGCCGAACGACATGTCCATTCACACGTCGGTGTCCTGTCGGTGTCTTGCCGGTGTCCTTAGTGATACCTGTGTCACTGAGGACGCAGTGCACCCAGTGCGCCCAGTGCGCCCACTGAGCCCGGCGCGTCCACGGCATCCATGTCGTCCATGGCGAGCGCGTCCCGGAACCATCTCCTGGCAAAGCTTGAGCCCGACACCGACGGCGCCGGCGGGAGCGAGTCGCCGCGCATCATTGTCGTCACTGCATCGGGAGTCACGGCCTTTGAACTGCGAGACAACCGGCGGTCCCCTTATGGAGGATCAGATGTTGGGGTGGTATGGGTGGCATAGGTGGCATGGCGCAACAATTCCGTTGGTTTCACTGTGATTTTTAATGGGTTGTGGATATTTTCCGATGGTTTCCGAAGGCTGTGATTTTTCAGGAGTCCAACTTGCTTGGATGCGACCTCACGTCTTCTGCAAAAGCCTTCGTTTTTGGATCATGCGCAAATTTGCTGAGTGGCAGGTGGGGCACCTCAGTTCAGCCAATTTCATGTTTTCTTTCCATGTCATGTGTGTCACGGATGTTGGGACATGCTGGGCATATGGTCGGCACAAAGCTTTTTCGCCACCTGTGCCAGCTGTTCACCAAGGGTTCTTCCCTGGATGTGCATCCTTCTTCCCGGGACTATTTGTATGCGCGTGTGCAGGAGATCTGCAAATCAGCACCAGCTGGGACGGATTCTGAAAGAGACCCCGAAAGCAGGTTGCCATGCCAAGTCAGTACCAGAACTTTTGGGTCTGAAGTCCATCCAATTTGAGAGGATTCTGATGGATTCTGTAATTCTGTATTCCAAATATTTCCAAATAGTTCTTGAGATAGGCAGATAGGCAGAAAGAATTGATCTCCAGAAATTCTGGAACCATTAATGTCTTTAGCACTGTCGACTGTGCTCTTTTGGAGCAGGATTTGAAAGAAAAGCTGCGCACGGAAAACTTGGTGCGCACGGATGTACCATTTCATTCGCTGGAGCTCCTGTGGCATGGACGTCTACTGCACCTCGGACAGACTTGCAGATGTTTCTGGCAGTGGTGCAGTGGTCGTACCCACTGGCCCACTGGGTTGTGTCCGGTATCAGTTCTGTCGAACTTTTGGACCAATGTTTGCTATGACGCAATGGGAGGTGTCTGTGAGATTCAAAGAGTTGAATTTCCATTGCCACGTGATTGCCAGTAGCATATATATATATGATGATATATGACATATATATATATATGCATTGTTTTTGACATTGCGTGATTTCAGACTGTTTCATGTGTTTTCATATGATTTCATGTCGTCTTTCATATGTGAAAATGATATAAAATGATTGAATATCTATAGTATCTATAGACTGTTAATCTCCGTCTCCATATATTCCAAATTGGAATTTTGTTGCCCTTTAAGGTTTTAAAACGTTTCGACTACAATTATAGAAACAGAGATTACAGAAATTCGTTTCGACTTTCGAAACCTTCGAAACCTTCGAAACCTTCGAAACGTTCGAAACGTTCGAAAGGCACAACGAGACCATGTTGCGCTCCCTGGGAGCCGATGCCATCGTCTACCTCCTCTACGATCGATGGAGCCTTCGGCGAAAACGCCTCGCCGCATGGCGGGCCGAAGTCTTCCAATGAGCCCGTTGAGATCCGGAGATCCTGAGATCCACGGGACAACCACGGGACAGATGGGACAGGTTGAATCTGGTTGAATATGCTTGATGGTTATGTTGAATTAGGTTGAATTATGGTTGAGTTGTTGCCGGGATGTTTGGTTTGAAACAGTCATGAAAGGTACAAACAAGTCATTTATGTATATTTATGTCATGTGTCATGTATGTCATGTGAGTCATGTGTTTTCTTGGTTGAAGCATGTTGGAACTGGACTCAGCCGAGCTGTGGCGGTTTCAGAGTTTCACCAGGGACAAAGTGCCAAGGCAGCGGCTGACGCCACATCGATTCGGAGAAATAGTTCTCGTCGACCAATCCTAGGAGCCCCCAAATACTTCCAAATACCATAGGAAACCATCTGGATACACCGGATTTTCTCCAACTATTGCAAGGTACAATTTTCATGTTTACATATTTTACATCGTATGTTGACAAACCAAGTTCCCATTCTTGAATTGAGCTCGATTGTCAGCGTTTGGAGCGTGAGATCCCGTGAGAGCAATGGCCGAAACTTCGATTTTTCAGTCTCTTTACCTGGTTCAGCTGCCGTCCATCCTTTCGCAATCCTCCTTCCCGCCCTTGCCATAGTCATAGTCATTAAATACATATATTATATATATATGTATTATGTATGTGTGTGTGTGTCTCTTGTAAGTTATAAGTTATAAGACCTGATATAAGTTGTATGATGTTGTCATCATCATTTATCATTTGCAATCGTGATCGCCCGTAGCACAACAGATTCAGGATCATTGTCGAGAGGCATCATTACAAGTATTTTCTGCTTGGGTTACATTATCCACTGCAGCGTTTCGCTTTATCAGCATCATGAGCATCTCTATCTTTGTCGTCCTTTCATGTCCTTTCCCTTTATCGTCATCTTCATAGTCACCATCAGCATCCAGAACATCTTCACAGCCAGGAAACATGGCTCCGCCAGTGGCATCCATCATCATCCACCACCATTGTCATCACCTCCCTCAAAACTCCTTGAACCTGTCAGTATCATCATTGTCATAGGCAATCATCATCATCATCATCATCATCATCATCATCATCATCATCATCACAACGAAAGGTAGGGACAGCTGAGTTTGTGTGCTTTTGGAGCCTTTCGGGGGCACAGAACTGCACAGTCTTACTTCATCCAGGGCTCGAGATAGAAGATCGATTTTGATTGCGCAGTATGTCTTGTTTCCATCTCCAGTTGTTCCATGTGAACCTCCTTCTCATAACATTCATTCTGCAACTACCGGATCTTTTGCCTTCACTGTTGTAAACATTCATCACCATGTCACCATGTGGCCTTTGTTTCCCCCCTATCACTGGTTCATTGGCGTAGCTGTCTTCATCATCTCGGTGCCGCATGCTTTTCTCCACTTCCCTAGGTACAATGGTTCTACCAATCGATATGGTTTCAGCACCGGAAGACCATTCGTCATTAGATAATTTCAGTCATATTTCAGTCACATTCAAAACATTTTGGCAATTTCAGTCATATGAGTCATAGCATTTTAAATCACAGGCTGAGCGGATCTGGGACTCCCTGGCACCCTTGGCGGAGTTCGGACCCATCACCTTGCAGCACCTGGGACATCCCAAAAAGCTGTGCCTTTTGTTCTGCGGATTTTTTGACATCTGATTCATAGAACTGGATGATGGGAAAATTTACAGGAAACCCCTATATTTGGAGTGCGGGACGTTGTGGGTCCCCAGTTTTTACGTCATTTTTAGCTGTTTTTTGTTATTTTTAATGCATTTATTTTATTTCTTCAAATAAATTCTTACTGATTAAGTATGGTTCTAGATATGACAAAGTTTATTCTAAGTTCATCAAGTTAAGACATAATATGAACATTTTTATTAAAATTATATACTGCGGCACATACCCTAAATCGCATTTGAATTCAAATAATGACGAAACAAAATCTATGCTACATATTGGGGATGCCAAAGCAAAGGAGTGTCAAAGGAAAGGGATCTCAAAGCCAATGGTATGTCACTGCAATGGGATGGCAGAGCAATATAGAGAATGCTAGTCGATAGAGTGGAGGCCAGTGCGATAGAAGTGGAGATATGACAGTGCCTTAGAGAATCAAATATGATATGGTTGCAGGAGTCTTGAAAGGAAGATCACGAAAAGAAAGATGAGCTGAACACCAGCTGCAAGCCACCTGATGAAACAAAGGCCAAGAAAAAGAGGACCAAGGCATGACGGTTCAGAAAGTACCAAATGGAAAGAAGAAATTTCGTACCCAGACTCCGAAACGTTAATGTCAATCTATGTTTTTTTTTTCCGGTGCTTCATTTTGCTTCTCTGATTTATGGAAATCCATTATTTGGATGTTACAAGGGGTTGCGTCTTAGCAGTTCTAGGTTATACATATTTAAACAATATGTGTATTCACATGGACAATTTCTTGTATGGCGTGTTGCAATCTATTGCTGATTATGGCATTGAGACGTGGAAGATTTCATTATTGGCGTTTTATAGATATTGTTATTTAATTTTTTTTGACCTTTTGCAGAATATGGATCGTGATCCTTATTTGGTTGAACATTCAAGTATGATTGCATGCATGATGGCCCAGGGAGCCAACTAGAGACAAATGACTTTTCTAGCAGACAAGATACCCTAGAGAGTTGCCAAGAGACAGATGCACGTGTAACGGACAAGGATGAGGCTGAAGACTCAATGGCTTAAAGAGCCTCCAAGGTACAGACGAGTGTGCAGCAAACATGATAGCCCAGAGAGTTATCTGGAGACAGACAACATTGTAATAGACAAAATAGCCCAGAGAGGCACCTAGAGACAGATGACATTGCTTGAGGCAAGATAGCCCAGAGAGCCATCCAGATTTTTTATCATCTTATTCTTCGTGTTCCCTTTATACCTGTTCTCCTTTTGTTTTCTTGTCAAGGCTATGGGATATCGAAGCAATGGAGGGGATCCCAGTCTGCTTACTATGGGGCAGAGACCAATCAAACAGAATAGGAGACAGGACAGTGTCTCCCTAGATGGGTTATCTTGGTGGCTCTAGGTGGCTCTCTGGGCCATCTTGCCTGCTACAGCCTCGTATGGTATTCTTATGGGATTTCCAGTGGGTTCTTATGGGATTTCTATGGTATGTCTATGATATTTCTATGGAATTCCTATGAGATGTCTGAGGGAAATCTATGATATTCTTATGGGATTTCTTTGTGGTACCTATACTAATTCTATGTTATATCTATGATATTTTCAGATGATTCCTCCCCTCCCCTAGCTGGGCTATCTTGGTGGCTCTAGGTGGCTCTCTGGGCCATGTTATCTGCTACAGTCTCATATGTTATTCTTATATGATTTCCACTGGGTTCTTATGGGATTTCTATGGTATGTCTACCTTGTTAGTTTATACGCCTGTCCGTTGCGTTTGCAAACACTCTTCAAAGCAAATTATCAGGACGCATCAGGTAAGCATATGAGATATCCACAGAAACAAGAAAAATAGCAAGAAACAAGAACAAGAACAGAACACAAATGTAAGAAGCTCCACGACAAGAAAAAATATATCTGGGTTTGCTCTATAGGCCGTCTTGGGAGAGGTAAAGGGGGGGGGTCAGCCAAAAAAAAATAAAAAATCGTTTGTTTTCTGTGTGGCTCTTTCCTTCCTGTGAATTAGAAATATAATCAGAGTCAGGTGTTCCTCAAGTCTGCTTGTTAGTGACACTACAGATTCATAAGCATGAATTCCGTAGACGTAACATTTTTCCTAACAAAGATTCATATGTAATCTGTCACGTCGTCTGTCCAGACATATGGAAACCTGGGAACTGAGAAACGTGGGGACAGAAACGTGGGGACTGAGAGCGTCCCTTTCTGTATATTTGATGGTAAAAACCATGGTTTATTGAAAATTTCATTTAAACCAATCCATTGACTGATGTCTTACGATATCCTTTGATGTCCTACACTCAGTTACAAGGCCTTGTGAGATCTTATGAGATCTTGTGATGTCAAATAGTCTGATGGTATCTGATACAGAATCTTATTTTATCAGAGACCAGAGGGAGAGAAACAAACTAACACTTTGGACCACCGCCCCACAGTTTCAGTTGACATTTCCATCATTCCAAGATATCTTTGGCACTGTCTTTTGGGTTGTTTATGTCGATTCTGGTTTTCTCTCCCTATAACTTATCAAGTTTTTCAGATTCATGGAGTTTGCGACTGTTGACGACTGTCGACATTTCCATGAAACCCCAGGAACATCTCTGAGATCTCCTCTGCCTATTCAAAGATCAATGGGTGGCAGCTTTACTATGCCGAGGTTGGCATCATCAATGGTCGTATCTTTCTTCGTCATGGCATTCGCTTAGTTGGATGGCTGGCTGCGACCCTGAAACTCATTGGAGAAGCGCTGAAACTTGGAGCCGATCAAATCCCAGGGGTCCCAGATGTTCTCTTTGTGCTTTCAGTCCATGATGAAGCTCGCTTAGAAAAATCGCTCTTCAAAGCCTTACCTTTGCTATCGGTCTTAACCACAAGTGCACATTGGGATATTCCCATTCCGGGGCAGACTTGGTTTGAATCGACCGGTGGCATATCATCCCATGGCGTGCTGCAAGATTTTTCGCTGTGGGAGTCCTTAGAGTGGCAAAGATCCTTGGAACAGACCTATCCGTGGCAAAATCGTTCGGAGAAAGCCTTCTTCCGCGGACATGACTGGAGTTCGTCCAACTCATTTACAGAACTTTTGGAAAGTCGACCCAAAGAGGACTGCATTCCACGTTTTGCTCCTTGAAATTGGAAGTCTAACACGCTTTCCGTGATTTTTTTTGCCGCTGAATTTTTTGGGAGTTCCTGCCACTTCCCCAGATGTGTGATCCGGTGGTTTGAGGATGTTTCCATGTCATTTCCTTACAGAAGATGGTATGCCGAACTATCATCTGGAGAATTAAGCGACTTCTTGGATGTGGGCCTGACTGGAGCCCCAGACTACGTCAAGGAGCAGCTTCCACACCAGACATATGCGGCTTTGCTTCACTGCTGCGACAAATCGCGATGTTTTTTTTTAAACATCACCAACTCACCAGTACAAAGCATATCACTGGGAAGACCACATGGGTTTGGTTGTTTTCACCAATATCTCAAGTGACTCAAGTGTCACCAAACATGGCTTTGACATCTATTTCCGTTTTTTTTTCGGGAGTTGCATATGATTTACAACGATTATACACTTATACAAGTTATACAACCAATATAGATTTACCAGGCGCAATAGATTTACCAGGTGATTTACTCGCAACCTCCCACTCAGGTGGACCCGGTGTCGCTCCCGGAACACGCAAAACACAAATATTTGCTGCACTTGGACGGCACAGCTGCCAGTAATCGGCTCTTGAAACTGCTCCTCATGGGTTCAGTGGTCTTGAAGCAGGAATTGGATGGAATTGGATGATGGGATGGCCAATGTTGATCCATGACTCTAGCATTTTTGATCCATTTTTCTAGCATTTATTGCTGAACTATACTGAGGCAATTTTTGGATGGCTAGTGCTGAAAGTCACTCATGAATCTCATGAATGTTGAATCATCTGGCATGTGGTCAGCGTACAAATCATCAAGTTGGGAGCCATGAAACTTGATGATCTGCAGTTTCCAGGATTCCATCTATGAGGAGTACTTCTACAAAGATTTGGTGCCTTTTGTGCCTCTGCTCCACAGTTTGACTAAGCCTAACAGTACCCCAGCAGTACAAAGAGTACCCAGCACCCAAATCTTGGACGTCTGAAAGGTCGCCCAAACTTTGCTTCGGATGCTCTAAGCTTTGACTTGTCCCGGGACCGTGTCGACTCACACCGACTCACACCGACTCACACCGACTCACACCGACTCCCCTACAAATTCTCAGGCTTTCGGATTTGCAGCATATTGTGAGAAGATCTATCATATATCATCATCATACATCATCATATGAAGTTTGAAACCTGGTTTAGAAATGTCTTAAAAAAACACCAAAGCCACAGCAAAAAACACCGCTGAGGTGCACTTCGTGCCAATCGCCCGAGACCGTTGCAGCACAAGCAATTTGACCTCCAGCCTCCAGTGGCTTCGGTCCCATGACCGGGAGGCAAAAGCCATCGCCAAGGTCGAAATGGGGGGTAAACATGGGTAAAAGATGGATAAACCACATAGATCATATGGTAAACCACATGGTAAACCACATGGGTATGGCCTGTATGGCTAGGAAATCAGTATAGATTTCGAAGGTGAACGTGCGATTTCAAGCTAGTTTGTGGATGTTTGTCGCAGGTTTGCAAGGTTTGAAGCGGAAACCGCCTGGAAGCAAAACTGAATCCGATGTGTTTTTTGGAATTTGGAATTCAGAATCCATTCGGAATCCATTTCTTGATAAAGAATATAAAGAATGGTGAAAAATGATAAGATTTCGTAGATCACCAGGCTGGACAGCGCTACGCGTGCGCACCTCAGCTCAGTGGATCCCCGTTTCGTGCAATGCGATGCAACGCCGTTACAGTCCGCAACGCGATGCAACGAAGCGGAGGCGAACATATCTTTCCCGAGCTGCGGCCGCCTGTTACTGGCGTGGAGTCCCAGGTTTCAAGAAGCCAAGAAACAGCCGTCACTGTTCGCGTGCTGTTGCTCTGTCTGATCTAACTGATCTAACTGCGTCTGCGAAGATCTGCGAAGATCTGCGAAGTGTTACGCCCTGTTACGCCAGTTTTTGAACAAACTTTGGTGTTCTCTTGAGCGATGTTAATCTTAGGCGACAGATGCTGAGTAGCTATGCGGCCTTGCAGGCTTTTCATCCAAGGGCTGTCATGAACTTCTCTGAGTGGTTCGAGTGGACAGACCAAAAAGGCACAGCTTAGCAGCTTAGCAGCTTGGACAGCTTGGAAGAGAAATCCGAGATCCAAAAGTTGGAATCAGCAAAGTTGGATCAGACAAAACACATTGATACAGTCTGATATTGGTGTTTCATCATTTTAGTTGTTCTTAAGGGAAACCGTGAAGTCGTCCGTGCACTCCGTGATGGCTTGAAGTCTTTCCAAGCGATCGTTGAGCGACTCACCAAGATTCTCACTCTATGGAGCGCCCACCAACTTTTACAAGGGAAAACATGGAATAGAAACGGAATAGATACATGCGCAAAACCATGAAAAATATGAAAAGAAACAGGGCAAACAATTGCTCTTAGCTGCGCTTCAAATAGACTTTCTCAAGCCCCTCAGTGTACAGAAAAAGGATGTCTTGAAGCTGTCGGTCTGCCATGGCTTTGCTGCGAGCAGCAGGCCGTGTGAGCCATCATCGTCATCATCCGTATCGTTTGCATCTGGGTCCCAGCGTTTGCATCTCCAAAACAAAGAGACATGATGAGACATGATGAGACATGATGAGACATGATGAGACATGATGAGACATGATGAGACATGATGAGACATGATGAGACATGATGAGACATGATTTTGAAGATTTTGGACAAAAATGAGGGTGACTTGTCAAGTGACTTGTTTGCCGAATGGCATCGGATGGCGTTTTTCGTGGCGAGGCGTGGAACTTCCCCGAAACCTGCGGGGGATCTTCACCTCAGTGGCCAGGTGGAAATCCAGGTGGGCCCCGGTGGGGCCCGGTGGGGCAACATGGGCATGGCATGTTTCAATCGGAAATGACGAAACATCCAGGTACGGATCCGCGTTTTGGTTCATCTTTGGGAGGTCAAATGAGCATAACTAGCAGGTAACTAGATGTAACTAGCAGGTTCCAACAGTTTCCAACAGTGAATATTTCTATATATTTCTCATAATTTCTCCCCATTCTCCTCACTGACACATTGAACCCATTGGACCGTATTGGACCGGGTGGCCAGAGGTCGTGCTGGGGTCCGGCGAGACGCGCTTATGTTCCCCTTCTACCTGAAGGTGTGACAGCGCACGTGGACGGAAACTCATGGGTTTTTTCTATTTTTGTCTTGGATTTTTGATGGATTTTCTGGTGGATTTTGATGTCTTCCAGGCAAAGATCCTCGAGGGCGTCATCACTGCGGGCCTTATCAGTTTCATGGTAAAACGCCGATCCAAATCGTTCAGAGATTCAAGGACCGGCCCGGTCTCCTGGTAAAGTTGGTGATGGCCCTGGTGGCCCTGGTGGCCCTGGTGGCCCTGGTGCCACAGTGATATTGCAAGGTTGAAAAAATTATTCAGGACTTGTGTTCTCTAAACACTACCTTGAGATTTGGGTTCTGGATGATGATTGGCAACACCAGCTGTAGAGTTTTCTGATGTCAGCAGAGCATGGCTGAACATGGTACTCAAAAGTTGGGTGACATTCTGCTTTACCTCAGCTTGTGGCATCTTTAGAGTTTAGAATGTTTGGAGAGTGCTTCTGTTGAGAGATGCAAATTTTCATGGCGCGGCGTGGTGCAACAATCGCGACATGTTTTCTGAACTCATCTTTATGGGCTGCATGGGTAGTGCCCACTTTGGGCAATGGCTGCTGTTCAACAGGACCCAGCAACTTTCCCTTGGTGCTGGGCTCAGAAAGGTGTTGCGCGTGGCAAGGTTCCTTGTGTAATATTTGAAGAGGATCACATAGAACATCATAGAAGCATATTTAAACAGTGAAAGCTTCACCAACACCAACTGTTTCTAAAATGGATCCCAGTGGATCCCAGAGGATTCGTGAGGATCTCTGAGGTACAAAGTGCCGGAAGCTCTCAGAGACAGGCGCTTCGAGGAGCTTTGGCAGCTGGCGCATCGCTGCGGATATTCCGATGCCATGAAGGCGAGACCCGGTCGACCCAAGGTCGACCCGGTCGACCTGGTTGCCAAGCACATGTGCCATGTATTGCCATTCTGTTCTATGATTTCTATTGATTTCTATGATTTCTGTTGATTTCTATTGATTTCTGTTGATTTCTATTGATTTCTATTGATTTCTATGATCTTTACATCCTACTGTGGATGTTCAAAAGCATTCAAAACCATCAATCACCATCCCTTGAAGTTCAACAGGATGATTAATTCAGGTTGTGTCCGATTTTCCCCCCATTTGTCATGGCAATTTTGGTGAATTCCGGCACATGCTGCAACACCTAGCACATTTACCGAAACATCCACAGATCATATGTTTCTTGTTATGTTTATGATGTTTATGTTCATATTTGATAAACATAATCAAACATGATACACTATAGAAATCTATATATAACACATGATTCCATGATATGAAATGATGTGATATGACACGATATGATATTCTGTGTAGAGAGATACACCATGGATGTTTTTTGATTGATCTTTGTGCAGGCTGTTCGGCTTCTCACAGAGGATGCTCCTGCGGCAACCACAGCCATTCCCGTAGGCCCGGTCCATCGACCTATTCCGTTTTCATCGGGTCAAAGTTGCATTGATATCTCTGGAAAATCTATTAATCTGTTTAAATCTGTTGACATGTGTTGAAATTGACTACCCAGAATCAAAAATGGCGATCAGTAGTCAACTTGCACAGCACTGGAATGTCTTGAGTGCGTGGATCAAGTTAACATGAGGACCACCCTGCACTTGGTTTTGACACTAATGAAGAAGGCAAACTTTTGAATTTGGTTGGGTTATGGTCTTGAAAAGGGCGAAAAGGGGCATGACATCTTGAAATGATGAGGAAGAAGGCTGGTGATGATAGCTGGCGGTTACATGTGAAACCACTCCAGATACGCTTCCTCCCCGAGAGAGACTACGTGTGGATCTCAGCACAGTTTCCTTCACATCTGTTGCACATGGGAAAAAAGCGGCCCGGCCGCCGGCGTAGCGACCACGGTCCGGCTACGCCGAGGTCTCAATCGATCTCAACTTCGAGCACTGAGGTGTGGAGTCAACGGAGTCAACAGAGTCACCTGACCAATCTAAGACCAATCTAAGACCAAAATGACTAAAACAACATAAAACAACTATGTCAACTATAGCAATATATTAATACTCAAAAATCGTACACAGAGTACACATTACATTATAATCACTATATAATCATTATATTCGCTTCTTTATTCAGTATACTTAATCAATTCGGAAGAAAGGTATCTTTTTCATTGGGACATGGTATTGCGCAACACAATGCTTTCGAAGAGGTTTTTGTGGGAGAACTCGGACCCCAAGGCAATCAGTGATTGCTATCCCAGTTGTTGTTCCTGAATCTTCAAACATTCTTCCCCTCTAGGTTCATCGAAATTCATCATGGAATATATGGAATCAATATGATGATTTGGTCTCGCATGTCAAGCCCAACTTGGAAACTATTTCTGATTTCTGAAAGCTTGGACCAACACCCTCAAGAGAGCTGCGAGGAGTGGCAATCCTGCAGTCCCAGTGCATGGCAAAGGCCAGGTTGGCAGATTTTCCGGGTCGCAGCCGTCCTTATCATCCTTGATCATCGGGCTTAGAGTATATCCAGTGGTCCTGGCATGTCCTGGCTGATTTCGCAGTCTACAGATGTTTGCCGAGGCCCGCGCACAATCTTCGACAAAGTAGATTGAGTTACAACGCCGGGTTTCACCAATTCCATGGTCGAGGGGGTAAAACCCAAGGGTCTTTGACTCTTTTTGACGCGGAAAAGAGGATCATAATCTGCAGATATCTGAGATATGTCAGGAACGACAGTTTCCCTGAGATTTGTATGCAGTGGCTGCATCATTGGCACATCGAAGCTTGTGATTTAGCTCAGACAGCATGGCCGGAATGGCATCATTGGCACAGGGGCAACCCCAAAAGTCACAGGAACAGGCCAACAGAGAGTTCCACACACAAATGGTGCATGAAATGAGCTGAGCTAAGAAGTCATAAGTCATAAGATTCTTTTGAGACTCATTTGATTTGGCGTTGTCTTCGCTCCATAGAGCGTTGCGCGTGGATTCGGACCTGAATGTAAATTCCAACTTGGACACCTAGCTGCAAACCAGGATGGAGTTTCAAATGTTTTGAAGCGAATGCGTTGATGTTACATGATGTTACGTTTGGAATCTGGTGATGGTGACCAAGGCCTTCTTGGTGTTGATTTGTTGTGATGATCGATGCAACTTGCGCCCCGGCCGAAAACCAGATCAGCATGCAGAAACGGGGAGCAAATGGTTGGAAGACACGTTTGTTCTTGTGACAGCTCAAGTTTCAATGGCCAAATCTGTGACTTGCGGTTCACCTGCGGTTCTCCAAGGCGACAACATGTGCCTTCCAGCGCTGGCCAGAAGCAGTTCTCCCGTCGACAAGGGAAAGCGCATCTATGGCCAAGGCAGCCAAGATGTGGCTGCCAGTGATTGGCCAGGAGTGACTCTTGTTGCGCTGGAACATGTCTGGAACGTAGATGAAGCATTGTGACACTGTGCAGTCTATCATGCTGATATCATGCTGATATCATGCTGATATATCATACTGTATGCATCTTCGCAGGAAGAAGAAGCAGCTTACTTCAAGACGAGGCCTATGCCCAGCAGTTCGATTCTGCTGCGGGATCACATACAGGTGCTCAGGGCCCCTCCTCGGTGCGAGTATATTCTCACAGCGACAGGGACAGGTTGTACGAAGCTTGGCGGATTGGCTCCTGATGGCATCACCAATCTCACTTTCGATCCGGTAGCAAAGCATGCAAAGCTTGGGATCTTGGGGGTATCACAGATCAGTGATATCTGTATAATATCTGTATATTCAATTCATATATTCTATTCATTAATATGATTCATATATTATTCAAGTAGTATTCATGTATTATTCATGCATTATTCATGAAGCAAGTTCTGCCAAAAATGAAGGTGCTCCAATGGATTCCCTAATAGTCACGTCTTCGACGCCCAGGGGGCTCACCATGGCTTCCATGGCTCATTATGCTCATTGGTGATGTGCTTCCGCAGCCATAACTTACCAGTTCCATCTGGGATGCTTCTAATATGCTTCAATTATGCTTCTAACATGTTGGAACATGTTGGAAGATGTTGGAACATGTTGGAAGATGTTGGAACATGTTGGAAGATGTTGGAACATGGATAGCCTATGATACCCTGAGTTGGGGAACTTACGGAATCAAAAAGCGTAACGCCCTCAGGATGGCTTGGCGGGACGCCCGGGCTGGCAAGGCCCACCGGCGCCCTTCAATACGCCGAGACGACGCTTCCCGGGTGCTGGGGTTTCCCAGGTGGATTTGTGGCCTGGTCAAAATGACTGGTTGGTGGTTTGGAACATGGCTGGATTATGACTTTCCATATTTTTCCATATATTTTGGGAATAATTACATAATCATCCCAACTGACGAACTCCTATTTTTCAGAGTGGTAGGTATACCACCAACCAGGATGAGTGTTTTTCCATGGTTTTTCCTATGAGTGTTTGTGGAGATGTTTCAGGATGTTCCAGTTGTTCTTTTTCCAAAACATAATGCATCATGATGCCAAATCTGGTCGAGATTTAGCTCACATTTGGGCTGTTAGGTTTGAATGAAACATATGAAACTCCTTGCTTCATCCACAACTTCTGAAAACAGGAATCTTTGACATATCCTTTGGTTGTATATCTATTGAATCTATTGAATCTATTGATACTTAAGGCATCATTGTATCATGTGTTTCAAACTCATCAACTTTCGGTGAAGCTGTACAACATCAGCATACATCAGCTTTGAGGCTGTTGCGCAACGCGACCAAACCCCTGGCGTCTGAGCACCCCTCGGAGTACGGGGAGCTGTACAGCGGTGCAGCGGGTGCCCCGAAGCATTGGCTGCTGGCGGGGCAGGCGGTGGCGACTCCACGCTACCGATCTCACCCGGTGGGAGCTGGGCCCTCTCAGGTGGGAAACTTCGAAAGACAAGGCACACTATAAAAACAATAAAAACACAATATATATATAATATATTGCGAAGGGGAACGAGGTAACAGTGTAGCTGCACATGATGAACATGTGTACAGTCATGCATGGACCGCCAATGATATTGGCTCAAGTCCTGCGCGAGGAAAATAAGAACGCTGTCCGCATGCCATGCACTGAGATTGCCCGGCGCTATCAGCATTACTGGTACTACAGACAAAAGGGATAATCCAGAACAAGGATCAATTTGTTCACAGGTTATCAGCCGTAGGGCTCACTTCTCCCGCCGGGAGAGTGGTACCTGCGTGCTGGTAGCCGGGCCGTCTGAGCAATTGATTGAGGACGCAAAGGACCAATCAGCTCATCATCGCAAAGATGCAAGGCGGCAGCGGAGATTCGCGCACCACGCAGTTTACCTTCAATGAGAACGCTGCTATGCCGGTCGAGGAGGTCAATCAATCTTCCCCTGGTGACACGGCAGACAGTGGCGGGATACGCTCTACCCGAACTACACAGTCCGGATGGCAAGTCACATCAAACAGACGAAGAATATCCACCCAAAGTACACCTAGATCTTCTCGAAACAGTGCTCGGAGTGATGTTGTCCGCCAAGGGCATCGACCATCTCGAGGACGTACTACTCCAAGGGACAGATCCACCAGGGCCGTGACCGACCGAATTGGTGAGAGGACCGGGGATAGTCGTGTTAAGAGGAGATCAACGGATACTTCTGTGGCTAGTGAACCTATTGCCATGATAGAGGAACTACGGGCACAATGTCAATCCCTACGTAATCAGCTGAACAACATGGAAGCATACGCTGCATCCAGGGATCAACTGATTCATGACATCGAGATCAGATTCACTGAGTATCTTCGGGAACACAATCAGAATGTATTTGATGAGGTCAATGCACTCAATCATAGATTGTCATGTTCCGCAAATGAGGTTGCAGAATATCAAGCAGAACTAATGGTAGCATCTCAGGAAGACGAAGGTGCAACAATACGCATCCAAGACCTTGAACGCCGAGGTGCCCTAATGGAACATGGTGCACGACGGATCCATCAACGTGGTATGGAGATCCAGGAGGAGTACAAGGATGAAGTACATCACCTTCAAGGACTACTGGGTAATACGGAGGCAAGACTACAACAACTTCATCAAACCAATGTCTTAACCACCGATATTGCCAATCGACTATACAATGAAGGTCAAGAAATGCAAAATGATTTCCAGAACTCAATCATGGAATATCGTAATCGATCTGAAATGGCATCCTTCTCTAGTAATCAACTTGAAGTGATTAGCCAACAACAATCAATTGCAGTTCATGAATTATCTGAGCGAAATCAGCTATTGAGTGAAGCTTTGGTTCAGTCTCGTAAACAGGCCGAGCTGTATGAGAGCAGTATTGATGAGATCACTAGAGAATCTAGGAAGAAGGTGTTCGAGGCAAATCAGGCCAAATTGGAAAGTGATCTGAAGCATCGAAACACTGAACATGATACCGTCAGAAGAATTGCATCATACAGGAACCAAGAGGCCGAAGCAATATCTCACCTGAGGCTTGAATCACAGGCTAGTGCAAACTCGATCGCAAGGGCAGAGCACTATGAGGAGCTCTATGCCAACGAGCAGAAGATGAACTGCGAATTGAAGGATGAGATCAAGTTGCAGAACACGAAGTTACGAAGATCGTTGACTCAGGGTACTACGACCGACGGTCGTGGCCCCGATGAGATGCTTGTTGAAGATCTACGTAATCAAGCCAAAATTGCTCAAATTAGGGTTCAGGATCTAGATCATGAAGTTCATGAATGTTTACAAGAAAACATGTTATTGAAAGAAAGATTGACTGAAGTTGCGGATGTAGGGGCGTCGTCCCTCACCAATGCTGAGGTCCGAACTCTAAGATCTGAACTAGAGAGTGAGCGAAAATTGAAATTGGCGAGTGGTGTTCAACAATATGAGAGATCATGCATGTTCATGGGGGAAATCCAGGATAGGGATGAAAAGATTAGCATCAAGAATTCTGAGATTGTTGACATGAAACGTCACTTAGATGAACTGAGAAAAAGTCTCAAGGATTCTGAAACATCTATGGCCAGGATCAGTCCTGACACACTTCCCTATTCGGCAGGTATTCCCAACTCCGATCTCGCATCCAGACTGGTCATCGACAAACTGGAGAATGACGTGAGTGAGGCTAACTGTGAAAACGCTATTCTGAAATCTTGGGTTTCGCAGATCGACAAGGAGTTGACTTATGAGACAAATGTGGCTCATTCCTATCGTGGGCATGCTGTACCTCCTCAACAACAACAGCATTCTCAATCAAGCAAAAGAATCGCTGATCTGCTGAAAGAGGTTGACAACAAGATCGCTGGCGGAACTGAGAGGGACTATTACAAGCCACCGAGTGGATGGGGCGGTCCGCCTGACCCTGATGGACCTCCGGACCCTTTCGGGCCTAACGGTCCAGGACCACCTCCTGAACCTCCTGGTTTGCCTTCAGTTCGAGGATCACAACGCGATTCAGCAGATGATGTCTCCACAGCGGCTTACACTGCGGAAGAAGTACCGAGAATGTCAAGACGAGAGGCTGACAAAGTCTATGTTAGCCCATGGCCAAAGCAACAGAATCTTGGGGTTTGGCAATCAGATCTCATCAAGAGTGTTGTTCTTTCGGCAAATGACGGGGATAAAGCCGCATGGGAAGCATGGCTACAGCCGGCTATTCGACCAAATCCTGACATCGAGCTGTTGAATGACAGTGGGGGGCAACGGTATCAGTCCATCGACGCCAAGTTGTCAATTGCATTGTCAAACGTGATAGCCCAAGCCGGTGATGTTGCTCGTCATGTAGCGATCAAATTGAGATTGAGAACACAAAGTCATAGCCGAAGAGGAACCTATGTCATGGGACGGGAAATCTTGGCTATGATTCTGGAGCACTTCAGAACCCCAGGTCAACGAGAAACATCCTTCACCATGGAACACATCGTATCGATGAAGTATCTCGGTGACTCGAACCTAGAAGTGTTCTACGAGAAATGGATGGAGATGGTATCAAACATGATGCCGGATGACGTACCTCCTGATGATTGGCTTCGTGACGCTCTATACAAAAAGATTCGAAATTCGAGTCTTATGATGTTCGACATCAAGCAGTACGAGTCATGGATGGAAGGAGACCAAAGACGAAATTATCGCTACCTGTTGGATGTCATCGAAAGGCACATCTCCAGAATCAGAGAGGACAAGCATGTGGCAGCCAGAGAGAAGTATGCGAGAGACTTTGCAGGCGGCGGCAAACCTTCAGCTCCTGCTACGAACCCAACTGCCGCTGCACCGGATGCAAATCCAAAAGCGAAGCCTAAAGCTACTCCCAAGGAGAAGGCAGCGCCCAAGGCGAAGGCCAAGGCCGATGCAGCTCCAGTTCTACCATCACCTCAGCCTAAACAGCATGCGAAAGGAAAAGGGAAAGGTCAAGGGAAAGGGAAGGATCGAGCAAACAGCCGAAGTACCAGCCCCAGATCCAAGAAGAAGATCCCATGCCATTTCCATTTCATCAAGAAAGCATGCAGAAAAGGCAAGGATTGTGAATACAGTCATGATCAAAAGGTGTTCGAGGCGAATAAGAACGCAAAAGGGAATGGTCGGAAGCCAGGAACTCCAAGAAGTCAATCTCCGGCAAACAAGACCAAGAAGATTGATGAACCATGCTGGCATTGGGCCAAGGGCAAGTGTCGGTATGGAGACAAATGCAACAAACGCCACGATCCTCATCTATTTAACACTGCTCCCAACACCGAAGCACCAAGCTCAAAGGCTACTCCTGCACTTGTCCATGATTGGAGCGATGATGAAGAGACGTTCCATAAGATTGCATCGAACGTGGTCAAGAAGAGGGTCAGATTTGATGAGTCTAAGACTCACGTTCAAACTTACGTAAAGAAGGACTTCGTGAAGTGCAATCGGAAATCTCAAACTGTCTCCAAAGGGCATGGCAAAGTTGGAAAGCCCACTGATCAGATAAGGAAAGATGAGCAATGGTCTTATTCATGCAGGTTAGCTTCGAGCCGAGCGAAAGCAATGGCTATTCTGATCGATGAGAGGGGTGAACACAGTGACATTGATGAAGTCCTGGTCATAGTCGGCCCTAGCATGGACATCCTGATCAGACTCGACGTCGAGGACGGTGAGGTGTCCAGGGAAGTTTTTGTGGAAAACTATGTTCAGCATATTGAAGGTCGATATGGTAAAAGGGGCAACACAATGTGTATCACTGTTCCTGTTGAAGAGAGAGATAAGAGATTCATATTGGATTCTGGAAGTGGCCATGATCTCATTTCATCCACACGAATAAGTAGAATGGATCTCCCAACATACGATGACAAGGTCGTCAACTTCCATACAGCAAATGGGGTAACGTGTTCGACCAAACGTTCAAGCATCAAGTTCGAGGCATTTAGCGAACCAGCAGAAGCTCACATCTTGGAGGACACACCCTCCGTGCTCTCCATGGGGAAGCGATGCGTTGATCTTGGTTACTCTTTTGTATGGCCGACCGGAAGAACTCCATTCATGTTGGATCCAAATGGCAACTTCATCGAGATGACTGTTAAAGACTATATTCCCTATGTGAGCGTCGATCAAGAAAAGATCAAGTTGAAATCATCTTGTGTGGAGAAGATCATGGCAGTTCTTGATGATGGATGCTCAACGTCGGAAGGTGAAGGTCTTTTGGTCATTGATGGAGAAAGTGGGGATGAACTTGAAGATCTTTCCGACTCCGTTGGACGATCCAATGTTAAATCACCCAAGAGATCAATGAAGAAACGTAAGAAAGCTAAGGTAAGAGATGATCAACATGAAGTGGCTGTTGGAAGTGATGCAGGTGATGCTGAGGAAATGTCATGCTATGCTGACGAGTATGCCGAGTTTGAGGACGACGGATATGATCCCAGCATCGCACCTGATGACATCCATGAAGATCATCCAATTGAAGT